TTATGCAGGCATGCAGACGAGAGAAATCAGTAAAAATAGAATGAATACGACTAACAGTCTGTGGTGGATTCTGCAATCGTAACCTAACGACGCGGGCGACTTAGATGATTGTCCAGCTGGGACGTGGTTGGGGCCTGAACTGTTATACCAAGAGCTACTGGAGGGCAGCAAAGTTGTATTGACCATGTTGTTGTGGGGCGTTGATGTCAGACAAAACTCTTCACAGGTCCGTGACACGTCTTTCATGACCAAGAACTGAGACGCCTCGTCCTCTTTCCTCTCCGTGATAGGTTGTTCGTGGGCTGTGGTGTTTGTGCAATCTGACGGGGGTAAGACGAGGATCTTATTACGAGCTGTGAATACCCAGCAGACAAAATGATTCTTGCGATGCATGGCTTTCAGAACGACTGCCTTTGTCTGCTGGTTGATGTCGAAGGAGGCAAGACATGCGAAGCTGATTTGTTTGGGCTTCGACGAACTGTTCAGGTGGTGCAAGACAATTCGGTCCGAGTTGATGCTGGGGTCGTGCAACAGACAATATTCACTAAATTTCTCATCCCTTAATCTTGTGAAGCGGTTAATGGCTGGATTTAGATTACAGTTCACGGAGTGGGTTTTTTTCAGGTTTACCAACACGGTCATCGGCTTTCTTTGGACGGCCTGGACATCGGGACTGTAGTCAAAATGGTCGTCTTTGCAAATGAAAGTTTTTAAATCCCCCGGATATGCTAAAGGCCATTCGATACTCCGACCAAGTCGATATCTGTAAAACACAAAGTAAAAGGTTACGTGAATGAATGAGAGAAATAATATATACATACGTGTGTGTGTATGTTTATATATATATATATATATATATATATATATATATATATATATATATATATATATATATATATAAAGAAATAATCATACATAATAATTGTACAACCGTCAATAAATAGCACATTCTTCAAAAAACATCTTTCGGCTTACAAACAATTATTTCGTCTTCAAGTTTTAACTTTAAAAGAAAAAAATAATAAGCCTGATGATGAAGACATGGATCTTCGAAAGTACTTTCTTAACTTAAAAATATACACTACAAACATGTGAAACAGTTTTATAAATAAGGATCACATCATTTAATGGATTAACATTATTTTAATGCATACATTATGTTCTACTAGCGAAGTGATTTCGCCATTAATCGCATTAATATTGCTGATGTATATTGTTATGTATGATTATTTTTTCATATATAAAATATGCTGCCTAATATTATATATATATATATATATATATATATATATATATATATATATATATATATATATATATATATATATATAACTAAAGGCATGGCGATTACAGAAAAAGAAAAGAAAATGAGAGGAGGTTAATAAGTAGAAGGACAATAAAATATTTTAAAAAGCCTAAGCATGATATCGATTGACGTTTCATTTAGATTTTTTAATATCGTAATTGGCAGGGAAGCAAGAAACAGAAATAGAGATCCGCAGTCGTGAAAGAAAAATATAACAATTGACCTAACGGTTAAATCTAGTTATTTCACCAACATAATTACTAATATTCTGAAGAAAAAAGAACCCAAAAAATAAACCGTATCTAATATGTCAGAATAAACGGGGGAAAACTGAAAGGAAATTACCTCAACTTCATTTGATACAAATTCTTCAGTAATCTAAAACAACCCCAATAAGATAATCAGATTAAAAGGGAGCTGTTATCAACTGGCAAAATGTCAGAGACACAAAATCTTACGGGGAAGTTGTCTGTGCCTTCAGTAGAAAATATATATATAAGCCTGTAGATGGGATTAGTAATGCACAATGCCTTATTCTATGTTTTGCATATATATATATATATATATATATATATATATATATATATATATATTTATGTTTATGTGTGTGTCTGTGTTTGTACGTGTTTGTGTTTGTCTGCGCGTGTGTGTAAACAAAAAGAAAACTTATCTTAGCCGATGCGTTTTGGTCTCTGATAGAGTTTATCAAGGATTTTAATTCATACTCACTCTCACGCATGTGTGTCTGTGTGTGGAAGTGGAAAATTAACAAATATGACAATAGCAAGCGGTAGACCTGACAGTCATCTCTCTCTTGAATTCAGTATATCCAAGTATGAGAGTGGTCAATACGTTGACTACTCAGGACTGTCGTCTATCATGGGTTCCGTACCTACTATGTTAATTTTTATCACAGTCATGAAAACCAAAATTACATTTTGGTTTCTCCCTGGTGAGTATTTTTAGCCGGACAAGCAATGTCAGCCTTTTGAGAATTGTGTACAGACGTATGCATGAAAATGTAAATATTGGTCAGCCGAAGGTGATACATTTTTACAAATAATATATTCTCTGCAATAGAACACTTTTCGTATGGTCAATGTCCATTTTATCATATTTGATTTAAACAAGATACAAAATGAATTAATATGCACACAAATTATTAAACTAGAAATTAAAAATAGACAATTATTATGATGCTATAGATTACAATAATGTATAAAATAAATAACACTGAAATCTATACAAGTGATATATAAATGGTGTGTTCGAAAATAGCTCATAAGCCCTGTATGTACATCTTTTTTTTCGAAAGGATCGCACAAATTCCCTTATTTTGATTTACTATAATACTGTACATTAAGGTTTCAAATGCCTACTTAATCTGTGTCTATTTCCTTCAAACGTTATCGCAAAGGGTGAAGAATAAATGTGATGAAATGAGTTTCGTGAAGTTAGATGGATCTGTAATTTTTCTATAAAGAATTTCAGGGTAATTGTTTGGATTGTTCTATTTGCTACTTTGAATTCACGAATGGAATTGCTGTACTACTTTGACCGTTAGTACTTTTAATTTTACTCTTTAAATTTCATAAAAATTTCCCGCCCTTCTCGATTTTGGAAATCTCTTTGTGTTTCTTGATCTCATGTCAACTACGATCTTCAAATATTTAAATGCAATCTCAAGTGGCATGTTTTTTTTCTGAGTTCTCCATCTTGAACGTTTTGTGAATTTATATCTCCTGCAAAATACGCTTGCTTATAAGTGTTTTTATCGCATTACTTGGGCTCATATATATATATATATATATATATATATATATATATATATATGTAATTATTTATTTAAAAAATTGATAACATAAATATGTTATAAAATCATTACAAAAATAGGTTTCAACACCCCCGGTGTCTTATCAAGTGATGATGTTGAATGTAAAATAAATGGTTTTAAATGTTTCAAACTAATTATCAATCCTTCGCAAGGGGAAACGTTGTTATATATATATATATATATATATATATATATATATATATATATAGCATAATGAGAAGCCACGTATACTTTCTTAATATGTATATATAGAAAAAGTTTCAAATTAAAAAATAATAATGTTTTATATATATATAAATAAATAAATATTTTCATAAAATAAAACATTATTATTTTTTAATTTGAAACTTTTATATATATATATATGTTTGTGTGTGTATGTATGTATGAGAGAGATGCCGCAGAGAGAAGGATATACAAGGATAATTTAAGATCTGTGAATGTATAAGTGATTATGTGTGTAAATATCAGGACGCATTTGCATCTTCATAGGCAGAAAATATATTTAATATTGCGACTACTGAAACGTATGAGATATGCATTGATCAATAAGGTGTGATTAATCAGTAAATATTAGATGGCAATATTAAGAATATTACGTTTGTGAAAAGGCCAACACAATAGTGCAAATGGAGAGACAGCGTTATAAACAAAAAAATAATACGGTAGAAGAAAGAGAACATTGTGCAAAAAAGCAATGAGAGGAGGAAATTGCAAGATACTCCGGACATTTACTGAAAATGCGGATACAAAGGTGCATCTGGAATTTGGAAAATTGGGATTGTTCTGTATGCTTCCAACAATTAGAAGTTTACAAGAAAGGCAAACAGATTATAATAAAGAAAATTAAAATTTAAAAAAAAAAAGATAAGATGAAATCAGTCAAGTTGGCATGAGAAAAAAAAAGCTACCGCAAGTCAACTTTTAAAAATAATGCGCTTTGGGGATCCGGAAGATTGACAAGACAATTCGTATTTCGAATTTCAAAGATTTTCCGTTAGGTCGTTTAATATCGGTGTATAAATAGGGCCTCACACATCACTTCTGAACCAGAATAATAACAACAAAGACTGAACGAAAAAAGAAACCTCTTTGCAAGGCAACAAAATGGTAGAACTAATCACAGATTTCCAATAACAAGTGATATGATCGAAATAATGTGGTATGAGTCGAGGGCGTTTCCGTCACGTTTCCTTTGTGTCAAGTCATACCGGAAGTCAGTTTAGTCAAATCCTGGCTATTTAGCAAGCTCTGTTCTTCTTTCCTTTTTTTATTTATTTCATTCTATTTATTTCTCTATTTGTCGTAGGATTTTTCTTACAGTTAGCCAAAAAATCGATCATTTGATTAAGAGTGTAAGATATTTAACTTTCTGTGTAAGAGACTTTGATTCCTATGCTGTAGGAAAAAATATGCAAATATTGTTCTATTTATATATAGAGTATATATATATTTATTCAAAACAAGTTTTCATTGGTCGAGGATGGAGTAGATGTAGAATATTTTATATTCTAAATTCATCTTTCTATGAGTATAGCTAACTTTATGTCAGGGTTATGGTTCATAGCACTACATACCTCCAAAATAATCGTTACACTTAAGTAATCAGATTTTATGCAATTCTTCGTACAAAGTGCATATTCTGCGACATTTTAATTTTGTTTAGATTCGCAAAAGCAACTGTTACAAGTCTCTTCATTTCAATCTAATCATTGTCTTACTACCCTTTTAAATTCACACGAATTTTGTTCCGTGACATAACTAAAGGGATGTCTCAGGTTTTTATCGTGTCAATTACTTTTTATTGTGTTGAGAATGCTTCTCGCAATTTCCACTCTGACGTTTCTATTACTAAATAAATTTACAAGTGATAGGTCTATTATAATTTATTAAGCTTGATTTAGCTATGTTGTAATAGTTTCGAAACTAGTTAGCTAACCCGTTTTTCAGTTTAGCTTTTAATCTCTTATCATCATGAGTGGTAATAGTAATAAATTTTGTCGTTTTATGGCGGTCATAAAATCTATCTATCTATCTATATATGTATGCACATACACACACACATACATACATATATATATATATATATATATATATATATATATATATATATATATATATATATACATAATCGAACCTATATCCTACACGCCATTTAGCCTGACGTGCTATACTATTTAGCAACAGAGGAAGCCACTTATTAGCAAGGTCTAATTACTGTTTTTAAACTACAGATTTTTAATGATTTCTCATGATACGATTCCTGTCGAAGGAGACATATTTTCTATGAAATTTCACGAACATAGTGGCTGGTAAATGTTGTTAACACTGTTTATTATAAACAAATGAGCATTGACTTAAACATTTGTATCTATAAAAATAACGTATAAAGAGAAAATACATGCATATATTTTATATATACATATATCTCTCAACATATATATATATATATATATATATATATATATATATATATATATGTATGTATATGTCCATATGTGTACATATACATGTATATTTATATATACATATATATGTACATATATAAGTATATACACGATATATGTATATATATGAATGTACAGTCGAAAGTATTTCTTTTTTAATTCTAAAGTACTAGGAT